CGGCCTCAGCGGCAAGGACCTTCGCCTGGGAAGATGCGAGTTGGACCCGAAGGGTACCGAGTTCAGCATCCAGCCTTTGCTTTTCCTCCGCAAAGGCTTTCCGTTCGGCCTCCAGAGAGGCGATGGCAGCAGCGGTATGTTGCTCAGCAGAAGATTGGGCAACAATCAGTTCCCGCTCCTTGGCCAGGCGGGCCTCCCGCATCTGAAGGGTGTACAAGCCCATCTACAGAATACCGTTCGAGAATTAGTACTGGTTACAGAGAATAAAATAAAGACAAAGCGCAAAAGACAATGTACCTTCAGAGCAGTCAGAGCCAGACATTCTTCAGATTGCTCGACCGGCAACTGAGGAAGGGAAAAATTGTTGAACCAAGAGGAGGTTGACCAGATCTGGCTCGCAGTAGAGCCGGCCCTCTCTAATACCTCATGGACAGGGTCGGATAGGGAGATCCGTTCGACCTGACCCGTGATATGGTCGGTGTGAGTCTCGCCAGCATTCGAGGGTTCTCCCCGAACGGAGTCGAAATGCTGGGAAAATTGGTGCAGTTGATCAGAGCCGAACCGCTCGTCGATCAGCATGGCCTCTAATTGGTCCCGGTGGACCTACTGTATTGGCTGAGGCTCTGGAAGCGGTTCAGAAGGGGCAGCCTCCTGAGCGGGAATAATGGAGGGAGTAGGTTGTGGGTTCTTCCTGGACTTCTTCCGTTTTCCGGCCCCACCGGCTGCGATGACTCTACTATCATCCATAGGAAGATCTTGGTTGGGTGCTGAAAAAAGACAAAGAACAATGTTAGTATCGAGCGGCCCTAGCGTGTGAGAAACTAGAAAAAAGAATAAAAGAACGTTTCTCGCACGGGAAGGACCGCCCGGACCAATGCACTTGGTTTATCAAAACAAGTAAACCCAAGAGAACGGGCAGTACCTATCCCGGCTGTTATAAGTCGTTCGGGGGTCAGATAATTCATAATGTCCATGCATTTATCCTTCTCCACAGCAAGCACGTCCTTGTAGATTTCTTCAGTGAGGACAGGATCAGGGGTTTTGCGGGGAAAGGCATTCCATTTGCGGGGAATCAGACCGTCCGGGATGGACACGAAGAAAAACCGGTCTTTCCACCCTTTGATCGAAGTTGGGTTTCCTTTGAACAGGATGTGTCCCGTTCGGGCACTAGTGGCCAGATAGCCATGGGTTTGTTGGGGGGCTACTTTGAAAAATTGGTGGAAGAGTTCTAGGGTTGGTCGGGCGCCGGCATCTTTGCAACGACAGATGAAACCCGCCATTGCTCGATAAGAGTTCGGCATAATCTGGGCCGGTACAACTTCATAGAAATTGAAAAAAGAAATAAAGAAGGGGTGTAGCGGAAATCTAAGGCCGGCCCTAATCGAGTCAAAGTGGACTATGGTCATTCCGGGCCTATGACGCATTGGGTGAAGCCCGGCTTGCAAACGGAAATCCACCGGGTCAGGGATAAGGGCCGGAATTTCGGCCCTATTGTGAGAGGTCAATTTTTGCCTCCTCTCCCTAATCAATTTTAGGTCAAGAGTATGGCGAGGAACATCGTTGGGACGTCCGGCCGCCATGGAGGCTATTTCGTCCTCGGATTTGGTGTCATCAGAATCCTCACTGGAGGAAGAAGAAGTGCTAGGGAGGTCCTCCGCCTCAGCCCTGGTATTCGTCGCCGTCTCAGTAGAAACACCGGCAAACGGAACTGGGATGGCATCTACAGTGGCGGTGTCACGGTCATCTCCATGAGAGGCCATCTCCGAATCAGAGGAATGCTCTTTGGGGCTCATCTCGATCGAAGCCAGAAATGAAGATGGGGAATCCAAAGTTGGGAAATTACCTGAGCAAGGGAAGCAGGGGGAAATTTGCAGAGGAAACAACGAAGGCCAAGGAATTGCAGAGTCGAAACCCGGAATTGAGGAGTTAAGGGCTAATTTATAGCCTTGAAACCGCCGTGTCAAGAACCAATCAGAGAGCGACACGTCACTAGGAGCATTTAAGCTAAACACGCGTCTAATTAAAAGACTAAACGACGGTTATCATGATGAATATGGGGAGATGAAGCGGCAGCCATCAAATCGCAGCATGGGGAACTGATTACTTCTGTACCCCGATCGCCATTCGGGGTATTATGACATTGGTATACTTCCTGATGCACTCACTTCGTTCGAGACATCGGAAGTGGGGGACTTGTGTTGGGATATTGACCTAGAGGCCCAATACCCAGATCGGGAAGGCCCAAGATATCCGGCCCAAGTAACAGGCCCATCACTCTATGATGAAAAGATCCAGTAAGGAGACATACCGAACGGGGTTCGGCCCAAATAAAGGTTGGCCCAATAAGAAGACATACCGAACGAGGTTCGGACTATATCTTATACTTGGGCCAATTTGACAGCATCTTCAGTACGGACCGACATCTCGTTCGAGCAACGGCCAACCAGCAAGTGGCCAGGTGCAGTTAATGCCAGACTAGGACATCAGCAAGTGGAAGCATGGATGACCAAGTCGGTGGAACAACGGCCAATCAGCAAGAGGCAGCCCATGCTCTCCATTAGTATAAATAGAAGGTTTCAAGTCATTGTAAGGGTTAGCATTTCAATACTCAAGCTCTAGAATAGCATCATTTGCTCTTATTTCTTGTATTAAAGCATAGTTTCCGACTTACCGATCGGGAAATCCCTTGTAATCAGATTGGTTAATTAATACAAGTGAGCTTTCGAGTTTTAGTTAGTCAGATCTTATATTTTCTTTTACGCTTTGATTCTGGGCCATTCCTGATATATCCAAAGTTCGTGTTGGGCTTTCGGATCTACGGGACTTACCCTCAACACACTTATTGATGATATCACAAAGGGATCTTATGCATTGAACCCTTGTCAATCAACGTAATATACATCATTTTCCGTACAAACTACTTTGACATTTTTTTTTAAATCAATGCAACGGTTTCTTGTACATAAATTTAATCCAAACAGAATACCCAAGTTTCTTGTACATATTCAAAATCAAAACGGTTGTTTGTTAAAACATACTTTAAAAACCAGTCACGAAGAACGTCACAAACGAACATTTATCATGTATTCCATTTGCAAAAAGAAAAAAAAGGAAAAAAAATAAAGTATATCAAAAATTAAAAGTATGATAATTAAGTACCACCACATTTATTTGATAAAAGTATGATATTTTAGTCTATTCGAACTCCAATAAGGCATGGAAGAAATATTTGATCAGATCATTGAGTAAAAAAATTAACTCAAAAATTATTTGTTTTACATTACAATGCTTGACTTTTTAAATCATAATTATTCGCAAAAAAGTTGGCAACAAATTTATAATAATAAAAGTAAGTGAACAACTATTTAGTTGTCCGTGAATAGCCTGTTCACAGACAAAAAATGTTCACAAAACGTTTGTGAACATGGTTTGCCTGTGAATAGACTAATAACATACAAAAACATAGCTTATTCACAGACATGTGTACTGGTGGGTATAAAAAAGTGTGTATAGATAGTTTTTTCGTGATTTATATGGTTACACAACGAGATGCGTTCGAAACTAGGATGCGACTCTTTTCATGGGCCATGAATGAGGTCGCATTCCATCATGTGCTTACATTACTTTGAGTTGCAATATTTTACAAATTACATTATTGTAACATTAGTATTGGACTTCTCTTCATGAAAATATTTTTAAAGAACACCAAGAACCCTAAAAATCACTTTGTACATGAAAAAAATATAGTTTCGGCAAAATATGATATAAAAAGTAAATAAAGTTATTTATGTGACGGGAAAATGAAAACTACAAATCACCTTTCATAATTTTTCTCATAATAGTCCTACCTAACAATAATCTAAAAACAGGTCTCATATTTACACCTAATGGATAATAGCTACTCGTGTATGTGTTATTGTAGAGAGAGAGATGAGAGCTAAAGAGATAAGTGGTATACGTAGTATATATTATGATATTATGAAAATCCAACCTCCTACAAGACTCCCAAAGAGGAGTATATATAGGGAAAATATTGACTAGACTGCTAGGTTAGGCCTAGCAGGCCCAATTATACCAAAAAGGTTACTACATGGTAATAAGACTAATCTAACATGTACAAATAAATATGGAAGATGTAAAATAGTAAAAAGGATATTTGTTGAGCGAATTTGGGTCATTGTTAGAGCCCAATAGCCATGAGACCGGGAGTACGAGTTCATAGACTCTATCAATAGCTAATCTTCTTTCGTTGGCACTTGACCGGTTAATGACCATATATTGCAGTTTTTTGCTTTTTTGGAAATGTGAAACAAAAAATCTCACGTTTTAATGGTCTTTTTAAAAAAAGTCTCATATATACTTTTCCTTTCCCCCGTAAAAGTTTTTCTTTTTTATCAACTCGACACTTCTTTCCTCTTTTTTTCATTTTCTCGTTATTTTTTTTCTTTACCATGTTTATGTATTTCAAACCTAATCACAAATGTCATGTTTAACTTGATATTAGTTTTTCAATAGAAATATTGCCTTAGGATGTCTTTGCTCATAGAGGAAAATTTCATGTGAGTTTGTTTAAGTTTGATCAGGTCTCGTAAAAGCCTGACATATGTTTATTTTACCATTGTCTTTTTAAGTATGGTGTGATCTAGTTTGAAACTAAAACAAGTCCAAGTGAAAACATCCTTAAAGTTTACCTCCAACACAAAGAGATCCAAAACTACTAATTTTAGGTATACAACATATTTCAAATAACAAACAAAATCTAAATCAACCTCCCTCTCATTCTTCATAGTCAATGAGTAGTCATTCTAGCGTTAGACAAGCTAATAGAATTGAATGTGGGCAATTGTCTTTTGATGTTATAAATGTGCTTTCTTAAATGTGTACCATCTTGTAATTGTAATCCTTGTCGGCGACAATTTAACAAATTTTATAAAATTGTTAAATTAATATTATCAATCAAATAGAGAGACTATATTAATATCATGTTACAAAATTGAAGGGCCATATTTGCTAATGCACTGTCAAGAGAACTCAAAATCAAAACATTACAATTTATTTCACAACTATGAATGTCATTTACAAAACTAAAAGATATCTATGAGAGGTCACTTTTTCTATTTACTTTTAAGTTTTAACTTTCTTCATGGACAAATATCGCTTTTACCGAGACCACCATAGTACAAATGATAGCCCCAACCTTTGTTGGTGTATGCCCGCACATCATAGCAAGAGGAATTTTCAGTGAAGGTACTTAAATCTTTAGGAGCATCAAGAATATTGGAGCCACTAACAACTTGGATGTTTTTAAAATAGCTTGTTTTTCCAAACCCTTCTTCAGGGAAATGACCACTCCCCATTTGGGTTGGGGTATGCCTACCACCACTCTGTGAGTTCATTACCTCACCGCCCCATTGAATCATTGATGCATCCTTGTCCAAGAACGAGAACAAGGACGATGGCCAATATCCAATAATATACTCATTCCCATATTGTAGCCACCAATCTCCTTGCTTTGGATCCTACATGATTGAAAAATTAAACCGAATTAAAAGATGGTTTGATGGGCCACATGGATACATAAATGCACACACAGACACACACACACATATATATATATGTGTGTGTGTGTACACAAATTTTGAATCAAATGAGAACAACTCTTAACACAATTAAAAATGAGTATTGATCCAAGTTAGTTTGCTAAGGTAACTAATTTTGTTCCAATTCGGAAAGTTGATTTCCGTTATTTATGGAAGCATTGTTATCAGGAAATTTTCCATCTTATAATATACTACTTCCATCCCACTAAAATTGGGACATGAGGAGGTGCCACGGTTATTAAGAAAAATGGATTTACGTGGTTGATATTGAATTGATAAATTAAGAATAAAGTAAGAATGGTTTAGAACCGCACATACTTTACCAAATTTGGTATGGAACAATCTTAGTGGGACGAATCGAAAAGGAAAGACGAGACAATTTATTGAAAAAATATTGAGAACGCACATGTATTGCACCTATTTCTATAGTTCTATTTGAGCATCCCCCCCTCCTCTTATAAAACTTAGTTTATTTTCACACACTTTACATATGTTATTGCACATTAAGTTCACGTGATACATTATATTATTGTACTTTTAGGATGGGATACACCATTTTACTTTTTATAGCAACCTTTTGGATTATTATTATCTCTCCCGTAATAAAATTTTAGGTTTTTTCTTTGCAGGACCATATCTTAGTAATGCATTTGCATAATTACAATTACCAACATACATATTTCCTAACTATTGAACTTTGACTCCAAGGATTTTTACATAGCGGCTTGCTTCCCTCGCTTCAACATAGGTTTTTTTGTGTCGGTCTTATGTGTCCGGCTTTGCTTTTGCATTGGGCATTGTTCCATCCACCTAGTCAATGACTCTAGTGGGAAGAATATGTTTGTATGGTAAGATCCAGCGAGGCAAGGTGAGGCAAGGCACATTTCACCGATCTTTGGCTTTGTACGGTGAGGCTGGGAGTTAGGGGAAGTGGACAATCCATATGGCAAAGAGCAACATCGATAATGTTGGTAGTTCCTCATTGAGAGTTCTTGGCGGTGAAGGAATGGAGGGCGATGATGATTTGGTGCGGAGTAGGTAAAAAACTAGAAGGGACGAGCTCTGTTTTACAGGCTCGCCTCGGTGTTTGAAAGACTCAAGCTCTCATTTCTGGAAGACAGTTTTTAGTATTTATTTTTATTTTTTATACCAATTTTGCTATTTTTCTTGTTTTAATGTTAACTAAGTTGGACTATGTGATTGAGACAGTTGGGTGCTTTTATGTAGTAGTTAGTCGGGCCATATTCGTGGGGATTTGATAGGCACTGTGGCTAATTCGGTTACTCGTAATGGGCTTGCATTTTTGCCCTTTTATCCACTATGTAACATGTTACTTTTGTTCTAAAAGTACAGGCAAATGTTCTCCTGACATTTAACCCACCAGCCTTGGTGGCTTTCTCGGGTATTCAAAATAGGGCTCATGTTTGCAGTTTTATGTCTAGCGTGTCAAGTTATTTTTTCATGACTCTATATCTATTCTTGGTCTTATGATCAAGTTAGTTATAGTTGTCTGAATATTCTTTTACATGTTCTTGTTATCTTCTTACATGTTCTTTTACATGTTCTTGTTATCTTAATATAAACTTTTTACCATAAAATACATACATCTTCCCTACTTCTTACACCGTTTACATCGACCAAGTGCACATTTTTTATATTCTTCACCTACTTAGAAAGAGTCCCTTTTTAATATAAGGATGAAATCATAAGGACTTGATTACAGTGAGCTGGGCAGTTCACTGGTTAGTGATTTAGGAAATTGTTTAAGTGTTTGGGTAGATGTGAGAATGAATGAGGAGTGTTGGTGATGTGAGAACTGGAATTAAAAGGTGACACAAGATATATCATGGTTCAGAGGTGGTGTAATCCTCCTGCATCCAGTCCCACCCTCTTCCAGATGGATTTCCTCTAAATGAATATACACATTGCATTTAGTGTCCAATCTACCCTTGACCACATGCATAGATTGTGAGTTTTTTTCTCGAGGAATAACAACACCATTCCAAGCTACTCAATCCTCCAAGGTTTTTCACTAATGACATTGACTAGTCAAAAGCTACTCATGTCCTTGATCTTCACTCACACACTTTCTAGATTTGAACACAAAGCCCTCCACAGATTACAAGCCAGTTTAGTTTACAAAGATAAATCTAAACTTCCAACTAACTAAGCTCTAATGATATATCTGTGTATGACCTATTCTAAGAGCTTAGAGGAATGGGATGAGAACTAAGAAGAAGAGTGATGGTGATCGGCACTTTCTCCTTTGCTGGATATGTCGTATAGGCTCATTTTTTGTTCTTAGCTCCACACTTAGGTCTCACGTACTCCTTCTGTTTTTACAAACTCAGTTATTGAATATCTCCCATTGGTCAGGAGATTCAATCTTGATCATTGATAGATCCACTTCATGACTGTGAAGCAGCATGGTTGATTTTGTCTTTTTGTGACATAGGTTGTGATCCTTCGTTCAACTTGTTTTTTGAATTTCGCACTTCAAGACATGTAGCTAAGATGAATTTGATTTAATCTTAGCCGTAGATAGAAGTTTTAGTACACAAACTTCAGATCAAGTTGTTTTGTCGTTTGTTCAATGCTCCCTTAATTTAAAGGTCCCTTGCTTAAGAGGTACAAAAGTAATGGTACTAATAATTTTTACAGTGTAGTAAAAATTACCATGCAAATTACTTTTGTTCTTTCTTTTTAGTTTTACAATTGTTTGACTTCAAGCGGGTCCCATGATCATAAGTTGTAATTTTTTATTTGCTTTGTAGAGAAGAATAAGATGATTCAACTTATTTTGATTCAACGGCCTTGAATTCCTGTGTATGTGTGGAATCAGCCTATTGAATTCCTGGGAAGTTTCAGTAGGCTGATGGTTGAGTTTAAATTGGATTCAGTTGACTCTTTTTTGTACCTCTTTTTCTTTTTTATCCTTTTCTTTGTGTTTTGGTACATTTTTCTTTTCTTTGCTTTTCTCTTTTTAGTACTCTTCTTTTGTTTTTGTTTTTCTTGTTTTGAGTACTTTTCAACACATAATGAAACAATTCCAAGATACAACATATGACAGATCAAGTGTTCTTAGTCTAATACAGGGTGGCATCATCAAAAACCTAATCATCAAAATCCAGGGGACCTAACACTTTTAACCGTGAAACACCTACACATTCTAATTTGTGTCTAATTTTTCTATCGACCTGAACATTGTTGAAATGCACGCATACATTTCATAAACGCACGGTGACTATTCAAAACTTTTTTTCATTTATTTTACTATCCCATGCTCAAGTACGTTTGAAATTATATAATACGGTCCATACTCTTTTGAGACGGTCGGGTACCCAAGCTCGATCTCATGTCGACTTGTTTGCACCCCTACTCTTGAGTATTGTTGATGTCTATTTTTCAAGGTATAGAATTCAAAAAATACAACCCCATAAGAGGTGATGGGTTATGTAAAATATGGGGGATATATAGAACCAGATATTACACACGATAAATTGGACCATAGATTTCTGCGCCACTGATTTAATTTGACGCCCGTTTACTATGATTAGGTAATGGGATTACTTCTAATTATGGCAGTCTTTTAGGAGATGCATTGGGTGCTTAGTACATGGGCTCACTTTTCTGTGGGCCCCAAATTATTATGTAGTATGCTAAGCTAGGTAATGTTTTTTACAAATGGTGAAATGGGGTATTTCTTATTGTACCTAGCTACCAGACATGTAATTAGAAGTTACATGTTAACCATATATTCACAAATGTTTCTGATTTCACTCCGAACTCGTGTAGAATTTGATGCGATCATATCATGCTCTACTTTTTGCCGTTGAAAGCGTTTAATATCTCGTTGGAAAGATCTTACCGAGTTCTAAAACTTGTCTTCAGGCTCTGGTTTACTTCTAATTATGGCAGTCTTTTAGGAGATGCATTGGGTGCTTAGTACATGGGCTCACTTATTCTTATGCTAACCTTACAAAAGTAACTAGCTACCAGACATGTAATTTCTTATCTCCCATTAATTTATTTATGGGAAAGTTCCCGAAATAGGACCAAAACAAATTGAAAATTTCAAAATAGGACTGTCATATTTTTTATTCTCAAAATAGAACTAATTAGTGGCATGTTTAGAAAATAATGCCATGTTTGAAGTCTGGTACCGCCAAAACATGGCGGTAATTAGTCCTATTTTGGGAATAAAAACATGGCAGTCCTATTTTGGAATTTTCAAACTGTTTTAGTCATATTTCAGGTAATATTCTCTTTATTTATTTATAATGATTTAATTTACAACCCTACCAAGATACACAAGTAGTAGACTAAAGGTTGTATGTGTGTAGTAGAAGAAAGTCTACTCGTCTACCCCTTTCATGTTTATCCCAATTCATTCTACTAATTTAGACTTTTAATTTTAGTCAATTGAAAAAACTAAAATTCAAATTAAAAGTTAGAACTTTTAAAACTTAAATGACACCTCTTCAGAGTTGTTACAAATTAAGTTAACTAAAGAAGGGAAAACATCAAACTCGATGGGTTAAGATGCTAGCAATTGAGAATGAGGTTCTAGAGAAGATATAGTATAATGATTTAATTAATGGTTTTGCTTCGAAAACTGCTAGGAGGGCAACTAGCTCTATTCAAGTGAAGGCTCATCCGCTATCTAAATTATTTGTATTTCTTGAATTTGAATTGCATTGTTATAATATATATTATTTTCACTTTTTATGGGGCTTCATTTCAGCATCCAGAACATGGACTCTAAAATATATATAAGACTATCGTGTTTCTCATTCCTTACAACAAGGACTGTTCTTATTAAAACCACTCTACATGTCCCGCGGAGCAGGAGAAAGGGGGAAGGAAGCACGTGAAATGCTGATGTTAGCATGATGTGACACCCGGGGTTTGAAATATGATGTTTTTAAAACTCTAATTATTCATAACATTTTGGGGAAATCGCCGTAAAAAGGACTAAAACGTTTGTGTATTCCAAAACAGGACTAGTATGTTTTTATTCCCTATATAGGAGTAATTACTACCAAAATTGGAAAATACTGCCAAGTTTAAAGTTTGATACTACCAAAACATGGCAGTAATTTCTCCTATTTAGGGAATATAAAAACATAATAGTCATATTTTGAAACACACAAACGTTTTAGTCCTACTTAGGGCGATTTCTCTAACATTTTCCAAAAAATTAATTGATTTTAGTAACATAATTACGGAGTATTGTTTTCGGGGAAAGTTCCCGAAATAGCAGTAAAAATGTTTGCAAATTCCAAAATAAGACTATCACATTTTTATTCCCTAAATAAGATTGTCATATTTTTATTTCTGAAATTCCAAGTTCAGAAAATATTGTCATGTTTAAAGTCTAGTACTTCCAAAACATGGCAGTCATGACTTGTATTTAGAGAATAAAAACATGAAAGTTCTATTTTGGAATACATCAACGTTTTTACTCTTATTTAGGGAAATTTCCCTTGTTTTATTAATCATATGCAAATAAAACATGTGGAGTGAATAATACTGATTCTTGTTGGAATAAAAAATCTGGATTGACATAACACATACGTTTCTTATGTATTTAGAGGGTAGATATTAGATTTAATTGAGACCAACCAAATGGGAATTATTTGTATGTGAAATACTATATCCATACTGCGCATACCTTCCATATTAACACAGAGATATCGTACTGCGGTTTGTAATCATAAGTTGAAAATGGGGAAATGATAGCACCCACTACTATCTCATTGTTTATCTGAATGAACCCAGAACAGAGAAGGTTATAGCAACCTGTGGTTTTGTATGTATCCATCTGCAAATTTTTAGGGTAATAAAAAATGTTAACTAAAGTATTTCTATATAAATCTGCCTAATAAATTTGTTGCGTAACAATAATCTCATTTCACCATTCTTAATACACATGTCATGTTGAATAAGTCTAGCTTTTTTGTGCGTTAGAGTAAAGTTGGTATATAGCTCGTATAGATATATACCAGGCCAGTAGTTTCTTTATACTAATAATGTGATTATACATCATGATTAAATATAATAAATGAAATTAAGAAAGTCGTCCATAGCTAGTGAACATACAGTCCAATAAGTGAAGAGTCTTGGGTTGTTATCACCGTAGAGCTCTGGGTGAACCTGAAGAGGCCATCGATGTACATGAGGTCAGTGTTAGCAAAAAAAATAATTTTTTTTATGTTTTCAAGTAATACCTCCTACTCAAATTAAGGCATTAAGCATTAAAAGCTAAAAGTTGTAGGTGTTTTATTTAGTTTGTTTTTCATTTTTTCTATTACAAAAAACACTTATTCTCCAAGCACTACAAACTTTCACTTTATAAAAGGTACGGAATATTTTTTTCAAATATCACTAACTTTTACTCTGTAATATGGGAAAGTTCTCGAAATAGGACTAAAACAGTTCGAAAATTTCAAAATAGGACTGTCATTTTTTTATTCCCAAAATATGACTAATTACTGCCATATTTAGAAAATTATGCCATATTTGAAGTCTGATACTGCCAAAATATGGCAGTAATTAGTCCTATTTTGAGAATAAAAACATGACAGTCCTATTTTAGAATTTTCAAACTGTTTTAGTCCTATTTCAGGTAATATTCTCCTGTACTGTTTGTTTTATTGAGATTCGAACAAGAGAGAGTGCACTGGTGTGATTACCAGAAAAGGTGAAATTGTATCATTGATATTAAATTCATAAAATGTAAATAAAGTAACAATAAATTGCAACCATCAAAATATTACATTATCACATATGGTATAAACAAACTTAGTAGGACAAATAAAAAGTTAAAATAGAACAAATATGGGGAGACAAAGTAAATAGTATTAAGCATTTTCTCTAAAGTCACTAAAAATCTTTTTTTTTTTAAGTAAAAGAAATCACAAACACTTTCTAAATTTCTTCTCGTACTTAAAAAGATATCAATCTAATAAACTACGTACTAAAATAATTTGAATGAGATGGCTGATGAGTATATATATAACCGAAGTATACGTACATGCCAACCAGCTTCAATGCTTTCAAGGCGTCCTTCTAACGAACCACCCAATATCCACATCTGCGACGAGCTAAACTCGTTAGGCTCAACATATGGTTCCCAAACATTAATAGTTACTTTTGATCCATGATACTTGTCGCTCTTCGCGTCCCCAACATATGCTATTGCATGCTGCACATACACAACCGGTATATATGGCATAATATAATTGTTGAGTATGTTGTTTTGTTGATAACTAACTTGCAGGTGGAATGGCAGACAGAATCGTTCACGGTTCCTTATGAAACAAAGGACATAACTATCCTCAGAACTCAATGAATATTATTAGTATGTTGTTGACTAACCATGTAGGTGGAACTAATGCAGAACCAATTCTAGTTCCATGATATGATTTGAATTAATATTGATTGCGCTTACTTGATTTTCAATTAATATACTTTCCTTATATGAGTGCTTATATTTTGTCAAGAATATTATTTTTAAGCAAAAATATCTTTCTATGCATGTCAACTCTATATAGGCATTTTGGTGCTTATTATCTTTCCATACTTGACTTGACATCCACTCATTAAATATTGTTTAAATACTTTATGGAAAGTATCTTTACTTGATGTGAGTGCATGATTTATAATTGGAAGTTGATCATAGCACTTATACTTGTTAAGTGAATTCTTTCTCTTGCTATACAGATTTAAAAAGTAATCCTTGTTTGAAATATATTCCATATTTGATCCATTGCATTTATGAAATAATTTCCTTGTCCGTAATTGGTATGCTACTTTCATGTATACGTGATTAGAATATCTTAAGTATCTTAATTTGACTGCCCTACATATCTCGAGATGGAATATGAGAAATATTATGGAGAGAAGCAATTCAAAAATATCAAGGCAAGTCCATAAATTTACCATGCAACCAACTAAGGAAAGAGGAACAACATACGTCCTGCATGAAGCTATATATATATATATATATATATATATATATATATATATATATATATATATATATATATATATATATATATATATATATATGACAGAAGATCAAGAGAAGCGGGTGTGCTTGACTGAGCAATTACAGAGAGAAATACTTACAAAGTAGTATCAAGACTAAGGCACCTGGACCTGCTTACGAAGTTCTAAATATAGTTTCTTCTCTCATTTTTATCTTGTAACTAGATTTTCAGGAAAAGCTAAAGTGTAGCTTCCTCGGGTTGGGGTCGTGTGTGTGAGAGCTTTGTTGTAAAGCTGAGAGGCTCTCTACCCGCAAGGTAGAGATGCATAACTCTTCCTGGAGAGAATAGAGTTGGGGTGGCTCAAGGGTAGACTAGGAGAGTTTCCTTTGTAATCATTCAAAAGGCTTTTTAGTGGAGTTGTTTAAATTCCTTCGAGTGAGGTCGAGGTTTTTTAATCCCTTTAGGCCAAGGGATTTTTCCTCGTTAAATCCTTGTGCACTTTACTATTTCGCATTTCCCTGAACCCCACACTAGAACTGTGCGAAAATCTGTCACGGTTCCACACACACACAATTCACCCCCCCCCCCCCCCCCCCCTCTTGTGTTGCTAACCGTTTCATCAATTGGTATCAGAGCCGGTCTTCACCACAGAAAGGGTAAAACCTTGGGAAGAGATCCAACAATATGAATACGGTTGAACGATTGGAAGAAGGTTACTCAACTCAACGACCACCGTTGTTCAACGGCAAATTTTACCAATTCTGGAAGAGTCGAATGGAGAACTTTATCAAGGCTGAGAACTATCAGGTATGGAACGTAATTAAGGCAGGTGATAATATCATACCTAAAGTGGATGCCGAAGGTAAGGTTGTCCCTAAACCTAAATCTGAATTTACTGCTGATGATTATCGTAAGCTCGAGCATAATGCCCAGGCATTGAAATATTTGATTTGTGGACTTGGTCCGGCTGAGCACAACCGGGTTCTTGGATGCAAATCCGCAAAACAAATGTGGGATTTACCCGAGGTTACGCATGAGGGTACCTCGCGTGTAAAAAGATCCAAAATTAACATATTTATGCGTAATTACGAATTGTTCGTGATGAAACCTAAAGAGTCAATTAGGGACATGATTACACGCTTTACTAATATTATAAATGAGCTTTCAGCACTTGGAGAGGATATTACTGTGGAAGATCGAGTGAGAAAAGTTATGAGAAGCTTGCCCTCCGCATGGAAGCCCAAAACTACGGCTATAGAAGAAGCTAAAGATCTCTCTACCGTGACGCTAGAAGACTTGACCGGTTCGCTCATGACATATGAGTTAGGCCTACAAGAAGAATAAGATGCCGAAAATGTTAGGAAGGAGCGAGGAATTGCTCTCAAGGCTCGAGAGGAAGAAGATTCCGAAAGTGAATCGGAAGACGAAATGAGCATGTTTGCCAAGCAATTCGGAAAGATGTACCGAAAATTCAAAGGCAACCGGAACAAGCAAGGTAAGAAAGGTTTTCAATCTTTTAATAACCAAGGTTGTTTTGTTTGTGGGTCCTTTGAGCACAGGGCAACAGATTGTCCTCAAAAGAAAAATGATTGAACCTACGACAAGAATAAGACCAGTTCTCATCAACGGTCCAGTGAAGATAAAGGGTTCAACAGAGACCTCAAGAAGGCAATGATGGCAGATTGGGGAGATTCATCTGATGATGAAGAAGAAGAGGAAAAGAGCCAAAATCATGCAGGGTTGTGCCTCATGGCTAATTCCGATGAAGGATCCGACCAAGAGAATTTCGAGGTAAACTTGGAAAGCTTTCTTTCTAAATTTGATTCCCTTTCTAAAGGCAAGGTTCGGAAAATTTTAAAAAAATTAACTATCGAGCTAAATCAAAGTCTTTCTGAAAACGATCATCTTAAATCACAAATCACTGAACTTGAGTCTAAACTCGAGGAAGCCACTAGAGCCAAGATAAGGCTGGAAACAAAAGTGGGAGAGTTAATAGATGAAAGGCTCAAGTACAGTGAAGTGGTTTTAGAACAAGATAATCTCATTTGCTCACTCAAGCTCGATAGTATGAATAAACAAGTTAATGATGAAGAAAAACTTCTAAGAAAAATTCCGGACATTGCCTTGCTCATTAATCATCTCATTCGCCTTGAGGACGAGAGTCATGATTTCAAAAACAAACCGGAATACCAACCATATAGTACCAAAGCCAGAACAGGGTCTAGACAACATTCTAGAACTGGACCCTCTCGGTACAAAAGAAAGGAAAACGAGACTGTTGGTCTCGGATATGTTCCAAGAGACACTCAAATGAATCAACCGAGTTTTCAGAACCAACCCTTTTATGGTAATAGAACCAGAAGACAAACCAATTTTAGGCCGTATCAAAGGCAATCTAGAACTGGACCAACCTGGTTCGATAAGTTGGTTCAAAGACACAAAACGGGTTATGGACAAACACCTAACCAAGAATTTTATAAAGGGCAAAGACTTTTTCGGGAATTGGAAAACCAAATATGTTGATACATATGATAGCCGAATTTTGCGGGCATTGTGGCAAAGACGGTCATCTTAGGTATCAATGTCACTCTCAGCAACAGGCCTTAGAGAGAAGCTTTAATTTTAGTAAATATTCCTCAAACAAATACAAAATGGAACCCAAGCAGGTCTGGATTCCATGCACTAAACCTTAATCCTGGAACAACACCGAGTGAGGGGGAACAATCACTGGTTCCTTGACAGTGGTTGTTCTAAGCACATGACATGACATAAATCTTTATTCCTCTCACTACGGCCATTTAGTGGTGGAAAGATGACGTTTGGAGACAACAGTAAAGGAGAAATCATTGTTGTGGGAAAAATTGGAAAGTCACCTGACCATGAAATAGACAATGTTTTCCTAGTCAAGGGTCTAAAGTTTAATTTGCTTAGTATTTCTCAATTTTGCGATTAAGGTAACAGTGTAGTTTTTTATCATAATGTATGTCGCATTGTCAATAACGAATCTCAGAAAGTCATACTAGAAGGCAAGAGACTTGAAAATACCTATAAAGTTGATCTCGACTTGTTGCCAAGCATAAGTCTAACTTGCCTAAGCGTTATTGACAATGATCCCCTACTCTGGCATAAAAGGCTGGGCCACGCTAGTTTTTCATTAATAAATAAACTCAAAAATAATGAATTGGTAGTCGGGCTACCTAAAATGAAATATTCTCTTGATCATATTTGCTCCGCCTGTGCCACAGGAAAACAATCTCAATCATCTTTTAAAATAAAGAATTTTGTGAGCACAAGCAAGCCTATTGAACTAATTCATATGGATTTGTGTGGTCCAATGTCAGTCCGAAATTGGGGAAACAAACAATATGTTTTAGTTATTGTTGATGACTTTTCACGATATACTTGGACTATCTCTCTTGCAAGTAAGAAAGATACGTTTAATGAGTTTGTTGTTTTTGTAAGGAAAGTTGAGCATCAAACAGGGTTGCAACTAATTAAGATCCGATCGGATCATGGAACTGAGTTTGACAACTCACTCTTTGATACATTCTGCAAGGAACGAGGCATAGAACACAATTTCTCTGCCCCTAGAACCCCCCAACAAAACGGGGTTGTGGAACACAAGAATAGAACACCGGAAGATATGACTAGAACAATGCTGATTTCCAGTGGATTAGCCAGAAACTTTTGGGCAGAAGCTCTGAACACAGCGTGCCACATCATTAATAGAGCCATGATCCATCCACTCCTAGGGAAAACACCATACGAATTATTCAAAGGGAGAAAACCCAACATTAGTCATCTAAGAACATTTGGATGCAAATGTTTCGTCCACAATAATGGGGAGGACAATATTGGCAAATTCGATGCAAGAAGTGAAGAGGCAATATTCCTTGGATACTCTACCCATAGCAAAGCCTACAAAGTCCTAAACAAGCGCACACAATGTGTGAAAGAAAGTATCCATGTAATTTTTGATGAAGCCCTCTCATTAAAACCAAGGCAAGATGATGAAGGAGATATAAGAATCTCACGCAAAGAAAATCAGACTCAAGAAAAAGTTGGAACAAACCTTGATCAATCTGAGGAACCACTGGACAATGAACAAGGCGAGTCTAGAACTGAAGAAGGACCAGGACAGACCACAACAAATCGGATTGTAGAACCAGCACGCTCAGGTCCAGATACTCTATACGAGTTGGCGGATCAACCA